AAGTATTACTGACTTTCACTGTAAGTAGCTTACAAGCTACATGGGATACAACAATATGACCCATAAAACAATGAGGGAAATATGAGAAAAGAACAGTTAGTGGCTGACTTGTGTGGAATAACCTTAGATGCTGTGAAAATATAGGGAAGAGGTCTGAGTGACTGGGGGAAGGCCACTTGATTAATTCTTTTGGGAGAGAGTAACATATGTAACAAGAGCCATCGACAAACAAATCAACAAACAGACTTTCCAATCCTTGTTTAAGGCTTTTTGCAAATTTTGGTTTTACTTTCCAAACTGTGAATTTTAATTGCCAGTGAAGTTTTATTTTTGAGCTCAAATGTGTTGATAACTGTCCAGTCTGAACCGATTGCTAATACATTTGAGAATTAAGTTATCTGAATGTTTTTTGTTCTCATTACAAGCTTTTCACAGTGAGAAAAATATTTTGATTTCATTTTTTTAATTTCATGAAACTGACATATTTTTAGATAGGAAATTCAGTTATGCAGCCGAAGGACTTAGCAACGAGGGGCACATTCTTGAAATATTTTTAGGCCCATCTTAACTCCTTTCAATGTTTATATCAACACATAGCTCATTACCACCATTCCTGGTTCTCTCCCTGCCCCCTTTTATTTCCTTCAAGGTAAGAATATCAGCCTACCAGTAATGGAGAAATCAAATCTGAAAGGAATGTCTCACGGGCTAAAGAACTCAGCAAGAGATGATGGAAGGGTAAGCTCAAATTTAAATTAATTCCCAACCTTTCCTGCACCGATGGTTGATGTCTAACTTAGCTAATCTGGGCAAAACCGATATATTAAAATAACTTTAAAGATAGGTTCTCAAGCTTTCTGCATGCCAGCAGATAGGGGTTCTGGGCATATGGGGCAGTCCATCTGCCTGATACTTCAAATAAGATCTAAAAAGAATGCTGGTGTCACAGAAGGGCATCAAAATTGTTTTCCATTACTCCTGAAATGTGTAGGTTGCTCAATTGCTACTGACCCATGCTCCCATATTTCTGCCACTTGATAATGTGTTAATACTGTTCAGATTTTTTTTTACATTACATATATGATATTCAAAGTTCAAATGAACACAGCCTCTGAATCAGTTACATGCATAATAGTTCATCCTTTCACACTAGGAGGATAAAGCGGAGTGAGACAGTTCCAGCTACCCCACATAAACAGCCAGAAGTAAAGCCACAAAAGTTTCCCTGTACGGACCTCTTCTTGTCTATTTCTACTTACGGAGATAACACCTTCTGACACCAGGACAGACAACTATGTGCAGTGTTTCACATTCTTACCACTTAAAGGTACACTTTCATTTCATTTGTTTCCTTTAACTGTTTTATAATTACGGGTCTACTTCAACTGGGAAAGTTTTCATTCAGATGAGCCCAGTGGAAATATAGGCAAGGAAAGGGATTCCTTTCATTACCCAGTAGATTAAAAGAAAAAAAAGATATGACAAGACAGAAGAATATACTATACATTTTTTTTCTGACAGAAACAGTTGTTTGCATGTAAATTTTAATTGTAACCAGAACTTCAATGGAGTTGCAAGGAGATGTAGTTAGATAAAGCCTCAGGTTAATTTCCATCGTTACCAAGCACTTTACACCACTGAAAAATTCCAAACATATAAAGAGATGTCAATCTTGTTCTTTAGACAGAATTTTTTTTTTTTTAAAAAAGGATTGTGTGGGGTGGGGACAGGGCTTCAAAGACTGTCAGTCGACAAGTCAGTAAATTACAGATCTGATTTAGTTCTTAACTCCTTGAGGTAAAAAACAAATGTTCTGCGAGACAAACCATTCCTGGCATGCATTAAATGACACAACTTTAAAAAACCCTGCTATGATGGTAATACAGATAGAGATGAAGAGCTATGAAAAGAGTTGAGGAATCAGAATCGGATACGTATTTGTATCAAGAGTACAGAGGGTCCTAGAACTGTTTTGCTATTGGGGGGAAGAGGATGTCCTTATATTTAGTCATCTGATCTTGTTAGCCAGGAAGACATTATTGTGTGATGTTTTGAAGCCAGTATCATAATAAATGGCTTCAAATCCCAGTTCTACCACAATTGTGTGGCCTTGACTAAGTTGCTGAACCCCTCTGTACCTTGATGTCTTTATGAGAAGGGGATGGTGGTCCCATGGATCTCAGAATGGTATGCAGATTAAATTAACCCAGATAAAGCAATTAGTCTGCTGAGTTTGCACTTAACATGATAATCGATCCATGCAGAACGAGGAGTTTCAAGATTTAGAAAGCACACGCGGTAAGATACAATCCTCCCTGAGAACATTTGCATGTCTACAGATGATACGGGCATTGAATGTCTGCCGATGAAGCACATCATTTCCCCTCAAGCAGGATTGCGAGTTTCCCTGGCCCCACCGAACACTCCTGAAATTACAAAGAATGTACTAACATTCTCCCAAGCATCCTTTTAAAGATGATCATTTATCCCTTTCACTGTACTGAGTAAGATCCGCAGAAGAGGGTGAGGTGGGAATAGCAACGTGGTATTACATACAGCCACAGTGTTGACCAGTTCCGGGGTGCTGCTGCAAGGCGCACAGAAATGGAGAAAACTGGAACTTACCCTCAAGACTTGCTTAAGTGAGTTACTAGCGGAATGGCAAGTTTACAGAGGAAGCAAAAGAAACCCAGGGGAACTGAAGGCTGTGACCACTTAACTTAGGATGCACAGGCAAACCTGATTTAAAGGCAAACAACTGAGGTCTTTGGAGAGTTTCCTAGGAGGTATGCAAACACATGTGAAAGTCTATAAAATACGTGCTTTTGAAATAACTCTGAAATGATGGTTTGAGATTCCATGGGGGGAATGCCTTCATACCTATCAAATCCTGGTAATTTGGTTGAAAAGAGACTGCCTGGTTTGCATTTTCTCTGTCCCCAAAAGATGTCCCTGGGCACTTTTTCTATCTCTCCACAGCTTGGCTGCAGACAGAGTATTGCGTGGCGCTCCTTTGTTTTGCAAGGGCACCCTTTAGTTCCACACTGCTCTCAAGTCCACACAGCCAGGCAGTCCCACACACCTCCCCATCTGTGAAGATCCTCCTGTGTCGGGTGCTCTTCTCAAACGCGCTTTAAATATGAAAGAATCACCCTGAACCATTAGTAAGGAGTCCCTTTCTTTCCCTGTAAGATGTGAATGGAATCCTCCAGTGACAGTGTCTGGGAAGAAGATATTCATGGGCAGCTACATGATTCGCATAGATAAGTGTAATCAGCCCTTCCTGGGAAGCCTCAGTTTCCTTTTCTACTCAGCATCTCAAAGAGTTTTGGGAAATTCTAATTACTGCATAAGAAATAAGTCAAATTCCTCTTCTCTCACTGTGAAGGACTTTTACGACCCGCTGCTATGACACATATCTTTTTTTTTTCCGTTGCTACTCTGGCAGAGTAGCCTGCATACCAATAGGCTCACTAAAACGCCACGAAGCAGAACATATTTATCTGTTCAATTCTATGTACAGTAACCTAACAAATGCCAGAGTCAGAAAGATTGCCCTCTGCACAGTAATACTTGTGTAGATGTCTTCTTTATGCTAACAATGACAGGGCTTCATGCCTTGTACTGTACTCAAACATCAGAGTGTATTTCTTTTATAGTAGAAGACTCTGTATCAAAAAGAAAAATAACTGCACTTTTTTGGCACTGAAATATTTTGTGTGGACAATAAATGCCCCCCCTCAAACTCCACTAACTACAGGTATCTACCTAGAAGATGAAATCTAAGATTTATGTCATCAAAACTATTCAGTAGACCAGAGGATAATATTTTCTTCTTTTAGGATTGTCAACTTTGTTTACTGTTTATTTGCAATTCTATCCTGTGCAAGAGATTAAAGAGTCTTGCCATACCCACATGTCAAACCTTCTTAGAAAAAATCAGATAACAAATGTAAAATTATATTAGTAAGGAGTGTTTTCAAAGACATATTACATTTATTGAAATCTAAATCATAACTGAAATGTCATAATTATATTTGTACTAATCAAAAAGATTTTTGAACCTGTAATTTTATGACATTTAGTATGTTTTAAAATTTTAATGACTATGAAATGATTAAAATATTATTACAAGTAAGTTCAAGAAAACACATATGAAGTGATATAAGCCCAGGAACTGCCTTCATAAATCAGATGCATAGCATCGAATCTGTTAGTTTCTTACATGCATTTTCAATCCAAACATAACCATTTGCCTATTGAAATCAGTTTTTAAAAATGATATCAAACAGTGTTCTACAAACATAAGCTTTTTATTGCCTTGCGACAGTAAACTTTTTTATATCATGTCAAGTTTAATCAATGGCAAAGCAATAAATAACAGCATGTATTATGACTGTAACTGAATTCTAACTAATTATAATACTTCTGCATAACCTAGTCACAACTTATGAATTGTGAAGAATAAATCTATTTAACAGGCCTGTTAGCAATAAGGCCTTTAGCTTCTTGCTTTGCAGAAGAATGAAGTAAAATCTATCCTTTTTCTTGCTGTTGTCAAAAACATTTCAACAGTTAGTTTTTTTCACAGAAAACACTGCAGGACGGTTCCAGTTTTTTTTTTAAATCAACATGGTTGTATTTTACACTTGGCTATTATTGGCCAGGGTACACAATAAGTGAAAACATACTGATAACTTATTATTTTTTTTTAAAGAGGGAAAACTTGCTAGGGGATTGTATTTCTAGATTAGAGAGTGGACACTATAATCTTTCTGGCATTGTAAAACTGGAGCTGGCTGCAGGGAAAATAAACATTATGTACAATCACCGACACTTAAACAATTGTACCTATACGGTAAGTCACAGAAGCCTGAGACACCTGGAACCCCAGCATTTGTGTCGAATGCCGGCAACAACAAAAAGCATTCAAATGACATTTGATAATGAGCAGACAGTGGAGGCATTACGCGCGTCTTTAGAAGAATCAGACTTCCTACCTTGAAAAGACAGATGGAGGTAAGTTCCTCTATTTAAAAAAAAATTGTAAGGAAAGCCAGGCAGCAGTTGCAGTAAATTGAGTCCTTTCAGTCACTGTATACATACAGCGGTCCTGCAATAAGGGGAAAAATGTAATGGGAGGAGCGGCTGTGAACGAGTGACCTCCGCAAGCTGAGTCCTCTCTGGGAACCACGCATTGAAAGCCACTGCTGCTGATTTGCATGGATTATCTCCCCTTGAACAGATACGGAGCAGATACCCTTAACATTGAGCTGGCACAATGGCAAGAAGATGGAAGAGTGAATGAATGAGGGGCAGCACCAGAGAGGGAGAAAGAGAAACAGACACGAGATCGGAGAGCGTGGATAAGCTGGTTCTTGCAGAACTGTGTCTCAGAAGAGCTACAGCTCCCTCTTCATGTCACAGTTGTAAGATAAGAAATGTTGCCATTAAGAACTGGTTAATTAGAGGGAACTATACCCAGGTTAGCGGATGCTCTATCGGATCTGATTTTTATGAACGTTTTGACTCTGTTTTGTGATCAGGATTGTACTGAAAATCTTTTCTTGATAAACAGCTAAACAAATTTGGATAAAACCTTGAGTCTTGAATGAAATCTGAGTTTGGACTTGATTGCCATACATGTCAGTGAAGAAACCTAGCCAGTTTGTTAAGTCGAGTATTTATTTTGGAAAATATTAATCCCCGTTAACTTTTAGAGATCTAGTGGTATATACTGCAATGTAAAAAAATATCTAAATATCTCTCAATAATTAATTATCTAAAAGAACCCAAGTATAGAACTAAAAGAGAGCTTTATAAAAACCTCTTTGAGTTGCTAATTGTTTGTTTTCTTCGTGTTGTCTCTTGTTGGTGTTTCAAAATAAAAGAAATATGTCTTTCTATAAAATATAGATGTATATTAATATGCAATCATTATTTGCTTTTCCATTCAGCATCTTCAGAGTTTTATATATTCATACTGTCGTTTTAAAAATGAGAAAGGGAACGGGGTAGGGGGGATATGATTGTAACTCATGCCAACAGTCACTCAATAGTCTGTGGCAGATCTCAGAAGAAAAGAATAACCCTCATTTAGCAAGTTCCTGTGAAGCCTGCCTTCTCTTTGTGTAAAGGTGTCTGCAGATGCCCAAACAGCCAGGCAATTAGGTCGATTCAAAGGAAAAATCAGTCAAACCAGCTGGTTGAGTGAATGGATCACAGCCTCGGGAAAGCACTATTAACTTGGTGTGGACCCAATGACATCGCTTAAATATGTTTCAACAAATGACATTAAGACTCTCACCATACACATGTAAGCAGTATTTGCACAGAGTGGTCAGGAGAACAGTTAGGTTTTTGCGGCTGTTGGAAATCCACATCCTGTCAGTGAAGCTAAAGAATTGGAACACTCTGTCCTTACAGGAACTCCGACTTGATGGACGGAAGTGATACTTGAAAAGAAATCTCAAGGAAAATGACAACACACATTTCCATGTGATTTAGTAAAGACCTGGAATTTCTGAAGTGTGCAGACTTGGTGACTACATCCGTGTTTAGGAAACAATTGCTTGAAAATAAAAGGGAGAAGACAATAGTTACTTTATGTTTGTGATATCCAAGAGCCTGCTCTCTGAGTAGATGGTTTCTTATATAAATTTGGGCACGGCTTGTACACAGTTTGGAATTGTAACATAATGTTAAGTGAGGTCTTAATATCACTTTTCAGGTTGTAAATTCTTTGGAGTCAGGGACCATATAATATTCTCTATATCAGTTGCTTAATATAAAAATTACATTCATAAATTATCATATCTTCTGTGCCCTCATGAAATAAAGGAAATAAATAGAATATCAAAGTCTTACCATATATAGGATCACAATAAGAGTAGCAGCAGTGCTAGGTTGTAAATGGACACATAAGCTTAAGTGCTCCCTTCCTTCTACCAGGGGCTAATGTCCAGAAGATATGCTTAAGATTTGAGTCACAACTTTCTGGTCACCAGCAGCTGACTGGGACAATTATCAGCTTTGTGACCAGGAGCAAGTGACTTAACTTATTTGCAAAATGGGGATACTAAAATGACTTTTATTATGTGGTTGGTATAAGGAATAAAGAAAAGGATTTTGCATAGCACCTAGGTAAACGTTAATTAGGATATGCTATTTTATAATTAGAATAAATCTGTTTCCATTGAGCCTGATCGTCTCTCTCTGAACTTGGACAGTGTTATTTCAGTATCGATTAGATGTAGAAAAAGGGCAATTTCTTTCTCTGTTCTTGGCTTTTTCTGGCCATCATATGAGGAGGGTTCCTTCCAGGTCCCTGAAAACTAGAAAGGCTGGTGCCTCTACCTTTTTATAAAAGACAGAAATAAAAATGCTTTTCTCAGGAGAGCTAGAGAGTTGTAGCAGCAGATCCAACCTTCTGTACAGAAATAGGAAATGGCTTGTGTGGTACCATGGGAAGGGCATCCAGAAGCTCCCGCCCCAGAAATATCTTCCCATCTGTCCTTTCCTATTTCCTGAAATGCCACCATTAGGAGTTCATTTCTATGTTTTCCTGGCTTCCCATCCTCTCTTTTCAATGCACATACTACAGGAAGAATTAACACATTAACACGTTTTTATTTAGAGTAACACATGGATTTATAGTAGTTTTAATTATTCCATCGGAGACATCGTCTTCCAGTAACTAGCTGAAGATCAGCAATGCCAGGGAAAAGCCAGATTTCAATAAGGGTGCAGAGAAGGTTCATGTGGAGTACAACAGTATGTGGGATGAAGTTCTAACAAGGATGGGGCTTACCCTGTTAGAACCTAACCTGCTTGTGTGCCTCTGGGTCTGCCAGCATGTGAGAGAGCCTGCAGTAGACACTCAGAGAGAATGTGGAGGTGCTGGTCCCTGGTACCCTGAGATAAAGAACAATAATTCATTCATTCATTCACCAAAAACGCATTGAGTGTTTTGTTAGCAAAAACCTGCACTACATACATGCTAATAGGTTGTCCTTGCTCTCCATATCTAGTGGAGATGATGGAAACAGATATGTAAATAGATTAATTGTCATATTGGACATCTGTACAAAGGGGAAAAGTACAGATAGAAGGAGGCAATGAAGGCAGAGTGCAGCTGGGGTAATGAAGAAAGCCCTCACCAGCTGGGCAATGCTTGATGTGACTCTTGAAGGCAGCGGGAGCTATTGGGGCAAGTAAGGGATGACGAAGGGGAAGGCAGCAAGTGTGTTCCAGGTGGAGTGAGCACGAGTCTGGAGGCAGAGTGGCATGAGAGAGACAAGCAGCTGGGACAATCATCTGGGTATGCTCAGAGCACAGAGGAGGGGATGAGTGGGAGATGCAGAGAGATGCGACTGGGAAGTGAGGGAAGCATTGAGGAGCAGGTCACAAAGAGGAGGCACAGGGCACCAGCACGACAGATCCTGGGTACCTCTGGACCTCAGCCTTGGACCTTTGTCCCTCTTCGGCCTCTGTGAGCCTTATTCATGTGTTCATTCAGCTCCCCAGCCCTGTGAACACATGCATAGGACAATGTTTAAATGACAAGGAGTCCCTAGTGAGACAAAGGGATGTATTGCCAATTAGAGATTTAAGTCTGTAGGGAGATGAAACACTCCAGAATTGTTTATGAGAGTCTGACACCCCATTAGCTCACCTAAAGTGCTATATGGCGTATTCATATATGAATTAAAATTAATTGTGTTTGGAGACTTTGGGATGTAGCAAATCAAGGTAGAAATCACTGCTGGAGCCCTGAAACTCATTTAGCATATAAAAAATACAGCACTTTGAAATCCTTAGTGAGACAGATTACCAGCATTAATGCCGTCAATACTAATGATGGTTAATAATTGGAAAATCATATTTATAAGAACAATAATAGCAGAGGCAAACCAGATATCAAACCTCCTAACTCTAATATAAAATGCTGTATTATAAGCTTCGCATTTTCTTCTATTGCTTGAATCTTAGTTATTTTGACATATTTATCCAGAAAATATTGAAGTTTCTATGCTTAACCCAGGAATGACAAATTGCTTCTTGTAAATATTACACTTACAGTAAAATTCACTGTAAGATAAATGGTTACATAGATATTGGACCCAGTAGTGAGAAATATATTTGAATTCTAATAAGGACTGGTTCAAGCTTAAAAACAATTAATAACTGTCAATTTCCCATAAACACAATGACAAGTGAAACCTTCAAAAAGGGCACCCAAACCACAAATAATTAAAAAAATTATGTTGATTAACAAAATGACTGACTACATTAGGATTCTTCTAAATTATTTTTTGATTGCAGCCATCCCCTCTCCTTTACCCCCATGGATATGGAACCAGTGCCGCTTAGTGCCATAGTCAGCCCTTCCCCAAATATTTTAAAATGACATAAAGTTCTGTGGCTGCCCAGGAGGGGTGCCACTTGGCTCTCCCTTCAAGAAAAGTCATGTCATTTTGCAGTAAGCAGTGAAGCGAGATAGCAGCCCCCAGCTATCAGGTCTTTCACAATTCACCTCCGTAGGCCTTGGGCAGTTTTGAAGAAGCATAATGGGCCTCTCTGGCCTGTCCATTTCTGCCCAGGGCAGGGCTCCTTTAAGACTTGCCCTGTCCAACCTTGCCTCATCATTTGACTCTCATAGTTTTGGGTTCCAGATAAAACTCATAGAAAATGTCTGCCTCCCGACAGACACAAGATCCTAACAGTCAGCAACATTGACTTGATGTGGAACCAACTTTTTTTAAAAATATATTTTATTGATTTTTCACAGAGAGAAAGGGAGAGGGATAGAGAGTTAGAAACATCAATGAGAGAGAAACATCGATCAGCTGCCTCCTGCACACCTCCTACTGGGGATGTGCCCGCAACCAAGGTACATGCCCTTGACCAGAATCGAACCCGGGACCCTTCAGTCCGCAGGCCGACGCTCTATCCACTGAGCCAAACCGGTCAGGGCGTGGAACCAACTTTTACTTTATGGTTTTTTATTCCTTCCCTTCAATCTCTAAAGAACTGACCTCTTACTCGTCACATATCCATAGAATTCATAGGAAGCTCCTCGCTATGTCTCTACTTTCCAGATGTTCCCGTTCTTGGAAAAATAAAAGATTCCTGGAGAGCTGTTCTCCAGGAGTTGCTCTCACTGAATTGCTTCTCAGATTGCTACTTTGTTTCCACACCTCGGGTGTACTCAGTACAAAACATAGGCACACTACCGAACACAGAATTGAATAGTCCAGTAGACTTAATAGACTGACTGTAACACAGATAAGCAGCGCAAACAACATGTTGATGTACTGAGATCAATAAGGATCTGGAAGACATTCAGGCTCAGTGCCGAAAGAAGTTCACAGTAAGCAGGGTATGAAAGATGTAAGAGAGTCTAAA